CCCTCTCACTCACCCAAACCCAAATTGCGCTGCTGGGCAGCTGTAAAAGTTGCTNTTCTCCCTAGTATACCTTATATAAGGAGGTTGAATCAAAAAAGGCCTAGATAGGACGTTGTGGGTGTTAAAAGATTGTATCGACTGCATGCAACACCTAGAGATGGACGAGTAGTAACACCGTTGTAGAGGTTACGCTATTCGAAAGAGACACCTATGTTGGAAATTAAAACAACTACTCGTGACCCATGGCGACAGTGGAAGGTAAATTTGGACCTTTCTGGCTTAACGATGTCAGCTTTTTGCGCGATCGCAACAGCTGAAATCTCGCCCAAATACCCTTTCCATGTCATTTCTTATTCGTACAACCCTTATTCCCACTATATTTGCCAAGCCTTATTTTTGTGAAGTCGACGGATTTTCTAGCTTCCCCCCACCGATTCTCCACCAACATTTGTGCTTTTCAACATAAAAGGATCCCTCGGAATTGCCGTGAACTGTGTCTTTGAAAAACTGAGCACGAAATGGTATATATGGATAAATGGGCAGTACAGCGTTTTTGAGAGCTTTTTTTTTTGTGGAAAGCAGATGTTCCCACCAAGAACAACACTGCAATTTTTGAACACTAATGAGTGCAGTTTGTAATTCGAGCGAAGTAGCAGCTCTACAAGAAAAAAGAATTTTTTTAGGCGGAAATGGCTTAACTCTGCAGAACCTGATGAAGCCAATGCAAAGCAGGTGTGTGCAAAGAAGTGCAAAGAAAAGAATGAGGGTAAGTTTTGTTTATTTCCCTAAAAAAGCCCTGGGAAGGTACCGTATTCCTGCCCTGGGAAGGTACCGTATTCCTTGCTACGGAGCAGTGCTGTTTTTCGAATGTTCTCTAGAACAATGCTGCTGATAAGAACAGGAGAAGGGGCCGCTCAAATCAAAGATCACCTGTCTTGGCTTAACCATACTGACAATTTTATCAACCCCTACTGCCGTATGGCCGAAAATGATTGAGAAGACGACGATCGCAAGAGTGAAATAAAGTTACTCTTCCCATTGAATCGACGGAAGCCTAGTTATAAGTCTGTCCCTGACTTCAGATGGCTAGCGTTCACATTCATACAGCCATAATCGGTACCAACACCAGAAAGAAGTTCATTAGAACCAGCATAAACTAATTCGAGGTGAATTTAAACCCGTCGTTTGATTTTGACGTTCCACCCTACTGAAATTCCCATTTCCTTTTACAGAAAATACAGAAAACCCGTAATAGAGCACGGGAAAGAAGGGGTATTCGAGGGGATGATTTTATTTTCCGCGACCCCGTGTTTGACCCTCATCAAAACATCGGCCGAGATGAGACAATAGCAAGAGGCACCACTACCGTACTTGTGGCTCGTGGATCAGATTTCAGGCCAAATATGTACCAACAAGACCGGTCAGCTATGTTCGTCCACGGAACCGTCCCAAGACAATTGACTCTTGAGAAGAAAACGTAACATGTGCAACTGTTGATTCTCTCTGTGACTGCATAATCCCCCAGAAGAGGATGTGGATTCTGGGTGAAAGCCAAAAAAGTGTTGAAGCAGAGGAAGGTACATAGGGGTGAATGCGAAGCACCTCATTTATTCATGGCCTTCCACCAGTTGCCTTAGTTGCGAGTTCTTACCATGGAACCCATAGCTGCACCTGACGTCTAACCCCACCCTCGCTCTTGTTGCATTTCAGATTAGTCGGCTCAGAAACTCCCCTAGAAGATAATTCACTGGGGAACCTTCTACTGGAAGCTTTTATCATAGCCAGACAAAGAAGTAGTTCTCAGAATCGAATTACAACCAATTGCTCGTAAAGGACAAGTTTCAGTCTACTGCTTTCATAATCATCAAGATAGAAATTGTAAGTCAACATAGAACACCCCTGTTGGCAGAAGCACTCTCCCTCTCTCTTTCCCAGACACTGTGTAACTTCCCATTCTCGTTTCGATTGCCTTGCCCTTTTCGAGACGCTTTGGGGCGTGTTCATCGTATCCAATTAGCCATGGAAATCCCTTGAAATGAGATTTTGAAAGCTTCATGTATCAACAACAAAAGTCATTCCCATGCTTACTGAAAAGTCACCCGAATGTTCAATTTGTTCGGTTCACACTTCTCGTAGCCTCAGTTTACCCTTAGGATGAACGTATGGCCTCGCAAGGATAGCATATGGGGAAAAGTCGCGCAGAAAAACAAATTATACAGGGGGAAGTTCGGACTCGGCTTGGCTGACACACCCAAAAATGGCCGTGTTACAACGATCTTACCAAGGCTGCCAACACTTTGGCACCAAGTTAGTGACTTGAAAGGAACATTCTAAAACCGTTTTGAATCGTTTGGAAAAAGCAAATAATCTTTTAGAATGCTGTTACCTGAAATAAATCCGGTGGTACACAGCCTTTGAGCAGATGATACTGTACATGTTGTAGAGAATCTTTTGAATAGTTCTGAAATGACCGTGCACGTAAGAGCAATATCATCAAAACACCAGCTGGAACACTCACATGAGCGTGGGCGAGCATTTCCACCATGATGTGATGGTCGTAGATCTCTCGGGCTTTCGTCAGCCGCTCTTCCGGCGTCTCCATTTTCTCGTATTCTTTTATCTGGAAAGGATGAATCCCCATTCTTTACAAACACTTTTTTTGGAAATAGGGCTGAGCCCGTTGAGAATGAAATCTTCTTTTGGAGAAAATGACAATTGGTTACATTATAAATATGATAAATGTAGCATTCGAACAAAACTCAATTCTTGGAGGTTCTGTAAAAAGTCAAAATCATGATTTTAAAGCCAGTTCCACCTAGCAGTAAGGAGACAAGAATGGACAAAATGCTTGGTAAAACTATCGAATCAACATATCCACGTTCCCTAGGGATGAGGTGTTGTAGAGGCGAATGGTGCATTATCTCCCAGGCATGGCCAGAGGATCAAATCCAGATTGGTACCCGACTTGGCTGACCAAGCCTTCCAAACCTACCGCCACCGTTGTCTATTCGGTGACTGATTGCCATAAAGCAGTAGAGATCCAAGAACGGGTCGTATACTGACCAAAATTGCTTAAGGAAAAAAAAACACCACAAGGATAGCCTCCAACTTCTCTCTTGTGTTAAGCTGGGAGGATTTAAGGTGGAACACTTTACTGAGTTAACGGCCTTTGACGTACTCGGTAGTCTTCATAGGCCGGGCTCCGTCGCTCGCTACTTACAGTCGCCTATGGAGTCGGATTCCATCCGCTTTGGCGGTGGAGCCTGATCTCTAGAGACGATGATAACGTTGAAACGTTAAACCGTTAACTCATAAAGAGTTCCACCTAAAAAACTCGAACGGCTAAAGGGTTTTCACAGTCAGATGGATTGTCTCGACGTGAAAAAGTATGGGATGAAGATGAACAGCAAAAGCATCTATCACCGAGAGGAACTACTGCAGGTGAGATTTTTGTTTTTCACAGGTCGCATTCAAGAAACCGCTTCAAGGTTTAAAGTAAACCTTTTTCTCCTTGTTTTTTTTGTAAGCTGTTGTTGTTTTTGTTTTTTGTTGCGTTTTTTGTTTATTTGTTTTTTTACTCGAAACAGAATGGGTAACAATGTAGACACATGAAATCGGCAAAGATAGATTCGGTGTTATCCCAAAGAAAATAGCGAAAGAAAAAAGAATTGGAGAGTGAAGCAAGATTCAGCTGTGGAAGTAGGTAACTATGGTTTTTTATTGTTTTTTTTTTTTTTTGGCAACAGTAAACCATTCCCATCAGAATATTCACAAGCAAAAGTCATTACATTCATATTACAATTGAATTAATTACAAATTTGCAAATGAAATTACAATTACAATTACATTGATCTCTTTTTTCTGAGATCTAATAAAAGTATTATGTGGTTCTTGACTGTGGCCTCTAAAACCTTGGACGGCGTGAATATTGATTCTTATTTCAAAGACTTCAAAACACAGCAGGATCCTCTTCAAAGTTACGGTTTACGATACGATGGTTTCTGAGATTTCCGCCTAGGATGAACCTATACCCTCTATGAATAGCACGTGGTATATTTCAGGTCAAAAAACGGCACCGACAGAGCGTTATAAGGGCTTCAAGACCGGCTAAGCTGCTGCAACACACTCAAAAGTGGCCGTGTTATGAGCACCTTGTTAAGGCTGCACCATTTACAATGAAGCGATAGAACGCCGGCGAATAGTACGTCTAAGAGAGAGACATCCAGACAGTTACAGACATAATCTCGTAGAAGCCACGTTCCCACTACTTTTTGAACCTTACATATTTAAAATCTGCCAATTCGCGATTTCGCAGTTTCGCGATTTCTTCTCCATTTTGCATTATATTGCATCCCGCGCTCAGATCATTCTGCTAAAACACCTCAGATACCTTAGAATTATCATGAACTGTGCCTTTGTGCATTCATTAGCCTGACATTTCGATTCAAGAACTTAAAGGCACAGTTCACGATAATTTTGAGGTACCCTTTTAGGTTGAAAAACGGAAGTGTTGATGTAGAAGTGTACTGTACATCAGTGGTGAAGAGAGCGAGAAAATAAGCCTACTTCAAAGCTTTTTAAAAGTAGTGAAAAGGGAGATTGTACGAGATTACCGTGACGGGAATGGCATCTAAGGGGTGTATGAACGAGATTTAATTTGCTCCCAATGCGCAAGGAGATGACTTCATCAAGCCGAAATTATCCGAAACTGTCTTTCACTGTCGCCATGGGTGTGCAAGTTTCTTGAACTTCCTACATAGGAGTCTGTAGAGATAGTGCAGCCTCTACAAAGCCGTTGAAACTCGTCCACTTTAGATGTGCATTTACACGATGCAATCTCTGGCCCCTTATTGGGCCCTATCCAGATCCTTTTACGACCTTATAATGACATGCATGGTACAAATTCATACTATAGGGGAATCTCAAGAACCACTTTTGTCGTGAGCTGTGCCTTTGAATTTGCGAACTTACCATTCCATTGATGGGAAGGGAATAGTGCTGAGTTGATAACGTGATAAGATAAGGAGTTTAAGTGAGGGAATAAACAAATACAGTTTCGAATGGAAACATACCGCTTCATAGAATTTGATCTGTGGACAGGCATTCTCGGCAATGTTCTCAGCAAAATCCTTGAGCAACAAAAAGCCGAGTCTTTGATTAAATATCTTTTCGAATTTAATTTCGCCTGTCTTTTCCAGATACTTTTGCATGATACTTCGAACACTGAAAAACGGATTTGTCAGTCGAGAAGTTTCCACGGATTTATACTTTTTTAAAAAATTTTTACCATATCTTGAATAGGAAGTAATAAATAATCTTGAAATAGCTGTAGAAGGAAACGGTGCTTCCAAATGTCCCGACATAATTGAACAATGGTAGTTCTGCTTTCCTCTTTTGTAAACTTTGTGAAGTTGTGGAGGTTTGTCAACCCCCCCCCCCCCCCCCCCCNCTACCCCTTACTGCTAGCTTACTTGTTTGGCTTACCTGTCATGCAAATCCCGTGGCTGAAGAATCACATTATCCTTTCGGACAGAGCATTATTGCATCTGTATCATGGGGCGATAGGCATGTTCAGGTCGAGTGTCTTTACCCTGGATGAACACCAGCAAAATGTAGGTTTTGGATAGAATCGAAGTCATATGGTGTGGAGTTGGTGTAGTGGCAAATGGCGCCCTATTACCCACGCATTGTCACGGGTTTCAATCCCGGATAGATATTCGCTTAGGCCAAAAAAGCCTTCCGGCCTTTCGAGGTCCTGTAACTGGTACCAGATTCGTACAGAAGGATAAAAGCACCGACTTGTACATCGGCTGGCCATAGCATGTCATTTTATAGGCTACATACGCATTCATTACGCTACTACGACTCTAAATTCAAGTCGAATGCAGGGCGCATCCCTCAGAGGGGACAGATTAACTCGAGAAGGACCTATCTTTTATCCTTTAACTCCACCTTTCCTTTTTTGTACCAGTTTAACGAAAATAATCGTGCCAGTACGCTGATGCTTGCCCCGATGTACATCATCCCATGTTCGTGCCTTTGAAGGAAAGTTTCCCAAATCTAGTTATCTGGCTGTTTCTCGGAAGACTGACAACCCGCAATTTTCCGAGCATTTTGAGCAGTCACAGAGTGCACTTGCGTCTTACGCTTCCCCAAAGCCTCTCCTGCAGATAATCCCCTGAAGAACATCTCGGTGTTCCGTCAGAAATCTCTAGTGCTGATGAAAATGATCGAGTCTGTCGTCTTTAAAGGCATGTTGGAGCCGAATTGGTACTGAACCGCCAGAGGCTCTTGTCCGGTGGGAGTGTAGCAAAATCGCCTTACTTCTGCTCGTTTTTCCAACCGAATAAGAAGGAAAACAGGCGAAATTAGGAAGAAGGGATCCTCTTGAATAGATCATCTCAAGATTGACTTGAAGGACTAACTTTAAGCACCGCTCTTTGATCTGTCCCAAAGTTGATATGACGGAATGCGTGAAAACTCGCACTTTCGTCAAAAACTGTGCCAACTGTCCCCAACTTTTCAAGGTTCAACGTCTCTGAAGTTCACGCAAAGCAAGAAATTCGGCGAATGCCCCGTCCTTGAGTCACCCCGACTAGCATGGGGCCACGCCCACTTGCCGGCCATTTTCATCGCGAAGGGTGGTATCGATTTCTCGCGAGTTCTTCTTTCCCAATTGCTCTTGTGTGGACGGGAAAGTATCTGAGAAATGACTTCATGGGAAATTGAATTTGTGGAACGTGCCACATTGAAGTACTGCTATGGGAACGAGAATTCTTGCCGATTCGTGACGTATTTTTTTGCCATATCAATCAAAACTTAAATCAAAATTAAGGGAAAAATTTGAAAAGAAAAGTTTCGACGAACAAATCCTTCCATCTGGTTCAAGGTTAAGAGTAATTCTTAAGGAATACGGTAAGAACCTAGTCTACCAGCTCCAGACTATCGTTTAATAAAAAAAAGAAGTAATGGAAATAAAAAATGGAAAATTTGAGCAGTCGTGCCTACCTAGGATCAGGTAAAACTATCCTTTTGCTGGCTCTGGCGGCTGGCTGACTTCGGCTCTTCTCCATAGCCATCAAGTAGCTGACGTCAGCCAGTACGGCTTCCAAGTCGGCCATTTTCCCCTCTGAAACGGAACGGCCTCGATACCCGTGGAAACACCTAATGGATGGAATGAAACCACGACATGCCTATCAGAATATTCTTGACGAACTCTTATGAAATGACGATGGTGAAAACGATGCGGAGAGCGGAACGAACGTCTGCGAAACGACGCCAGAAATGTGAGACAACAGCAGCAGTGACAATTGAATCGATGTTGTGCGGACACGAAAATGGCATCAAATATCACTCTGTTATCTCCGTTTATCATAATCACTACGAGAACGCAACAGTTCAGAGCAGACCGAGCGGTTTCTGGACCAGTTCCTTTTTTGAGAATCAAATTAGTTAAAAAGAGAGCAAATTAGCAAATAGAAGAGCTTATTGAGAAAACATGTGATTGCTGGGTAAAGGTAAATAGCTTTGTGTAGTGACTGGGAGACGTTCTGAGGCGGAAGGAGCAGTGAGGTGGAGCAAATGGCCGGCGCAATAGTTGTCACGGCTGATTAAGTAAGGTAACCAGGAGGGTCCCCACTATTTTTAGCTTAACTTCTGCTTTACTAAGGGGGATGCTTCAGATGGACGTCTCCCAAACAGGAGTTCTTTGCCCTAGGAACCGGCGTCAGCTATATGACTGGGAGCAGAGTGATTCATGCTTCTCAGTTCGAAGGACGTCAGAGCTTAGTCAGAGCTAATAAAGCGTCTACTCAAAGGGTTCTGGCATGGAAAGGGCAGAGCGGTTGGAATTCTTCTTTTAGAAAAAAAACCTTTGTGCATTCTTGGACGTCATAGAAATGACAAACGAGAGAAGCAATTGGCAAGCGATCCTCCCAAAACCTAAGTACACGACGGATATCGAATTTTTCTGTGGCAGCTGTTAGAAGCCCCTAGGCCCCAGTACCACCACTAGCCACTTTTCGACCCCTGGAAAGAACAGTGCTCATGTTCAAGCCGTCGCAGAGCCAAAGGCGTCGTTGCCTAGACGAGATGCTCGCTAGCTGGCTGTTTTTCCATAGCAACTATCCGTCGAGTTTCGTATCGGCCATCGCCCCGTCGCGATCGACACCCTCTCCAGCCGCGGGAGGGATTCGAAAACGGAAATCGCTCATTAGACGGGCTGGTAAACGGCTTGCCATCCTGGTCATCCTCGTCCCGCACATTCATCTGTTCCGCAGATTACGCCTGATCTGAAGGGGTCCTTGAACGCAGTCGCTGCTCTTCCTCCCCCGCGGCTCATTCCCGTGTTCATCTGAACACCGCGTGTCACACATTACATATCCAAAATGAATCATACAATCATGAATACAATCGCTTTGAGGGAATATGGAGATGGGGTAGGAAGAAAGAGGGTTTGAATGACCATTCCGGTAAACAGGAGGGTGAGAAGGGCGACCGACAATCACTTGGACATGAACTGGCTAACTGCAAGTGCTGAGCGGTTTTGATTAGCTTGAAGAATCGATGCGTATCCATTGCATCGGGGCGAAAATTCATGGCAATTTCAGGCGGACAACATTCACACTCGTAACGAACCGCTGCAAATCGATGTTATCGTCGTCGACACACTCATGATCATAAATGTCCTGCAGTCACCTCATTATCAGCCATCACCCAATCCCCCATTGTTGAATGCATTCGAGCCTTTCGATTCAGCGCCACTATGTAACGATATTACTGCAAAACACCGAGAGAATGAGAAATTCGCTGAAGGTCGAGGAAAAAGTTGCGCGTTTCTCACCACGAAATGGAAGCAATTAGGAAATAGCGAATGGATTCCGAAAGGCAAGTCTGAAAACGACAATCGACTATTCCTTTATTCGATTCTTGACTGAAACTGTTGTTTCTAGGTAGGAAAGAAGATAAGAGGGCTATTTGGAAGGGGAGGCATGCGATACGGAGGCGGGACGGGGTCAGGCGAGTCTGCTGTACGTCGCGTGGGGCGGCCTGGGGTGGGTGGGGTCCGGAGCCGTGAGGCATGATTTAATGAGGCAGGAGGTGCTGATGAGCGAGAGCATTCTTACCTGCCAGAGGCAGTAGAAGAGATGGGGAGCATGGCCGAAGGCATCGATTAGCCGAGGGCGAGGGGAGAGAGAGGAGCTCTGCCTGCTGCATTGCAGCAGCAGCAGCTTTCACCCTTGCCAATATCTTCGTCGTCTCCGCGTCGCGCTCCGTCACACTCACCCCACACACTCACACACCTCACACCCCCATCCCCTACCCCTCCACTCTCCCTGCACATTCCTCCTGCTCATTTCACCTCAGGGCACGATTTATCTCACACATGTGTTAGAGGGTAATGAATGTTATGTTAATAATTTCGCCTACGTGAAAATGCCGCATTCTTCCGCTCGCAGCTACCGATGCTTACACGAACCGCTGCCGTCTGGGAGCCATCGTAACTCACTATCAGACCATGCTAATGAGGAAACGACAGAATGGGAAGGAGGAAGGGTGAGGTGACTGAGACACAGCTACGGAGAGGCTCTCACCACTTCTCAGACGTCGGCAATCAGCGCACTCATGATTCTCATTTACCTGGGAAACATCGTATCGCGCTTCAGAAGGGAAAATCCTACGAACTGCCATCTTAAGGGTGTGGAAAAGTCGTACTTCTGTTTCAGCTTTGAAGAGGTCAATCATACAAAAAGGATCAAATATCAAGCAATCCATTTCAACACGAAATGCGTCACTCCTTTCAATTGGGAATGTAAGATTCGAAGGGTGAAGATAAGTTATGGCACAAATTATAATCAATCACGGAATAAGCCATGAATTTGTCATTCCCCCACTATTGAGTTTGTCATGACCTGGAAGAACTAGAGGGGAAAATTTCGAGAAAAGCGTAACATCAATGCAGCAAATGCTCTATGGGATTGTGTTCTGCTCTGATATTGAATTTCACCTTGGGTAAGGTCGTTCAGGAGGGCAAAAACACTGACTTCTACATCGGCTGGCTGGGGCAGGTCATTGTATAAGGTACCTACACATTAAGCCACTATGGTTCTGAATGGAAGTGAAGTGCGGGACCAGGAAACGAGAGTGATTAATACCGAGGCCCTTCTACCTTCTCCGCTCATACAGGGTAAGGTATTGTATAAATAACTCAATATTTACAATCAGCTGTTCAACTCGCCAACCTTATGCTATAGGACAAGCTAAACTTCAAGTAATTTCTACTCCTCGAAAACTAGAGAGAAGCTGTGCTCGGTAGGTGGGAGGAAGCGGAGACACGAAGACATAGAACAAACATTATGACAACGTAATGCAGTTAGTAGATAATGTAATATCCTACTGAACAACAAAACAATGGAGCGGAAGTGGTATAGAGGCAAGTAGCGCACTATCACACACGCATGGTCATGGGTTCAAATCTTGGCTTGATATCTCCTAGACCAACTTCCATGCCTTCGGAGTTGGTTGTTAAATTATTATCGGAATCGTCTGAGAGGATGAAAACACTGGCTTCTACATGTGGTGGCCATCGCAAATTATTGGATAGCCACAACACATTCAATAGGCCACCACGATTCTGAATGGAAGTTGCATGCAGGCCGCATCCCAATCGTCTGAGAGGATGAAAACACTGGCTTCTAAAACAAGCAATAACATCTAGGAAATTATCGAGAAACTCATCAAAATGGTTTTTCAGGGTATTTAGATGGGGCATTGGTCCTTGTTCATGAATTAGAAGGGGCGATTCCTCATATTCTACACTAACCAGTAAAAGAGTTGAAGAGAAAGAAAGTAGGGTGAAAGTTGTCGACGTGAAAGGCAAAGCACGATTTCCTAGTGGAAAACAGTCGTGTTTTTGGCAATTTCGGTAGAGTAGCCGTCACAAACATTTTCGCGCTGTGAAAGTATGGCTGAAAAATTGGGCTGAATAATCGGGCCACGATTGTCCCCAACAGTTTTGACTAGTTTTCGAATGCTTTGCAAAAGTAGAGTTTCAAAGGACAGCAGAACATCCTGGATTGACAAGCATTTGAGTGAGAAGTTCGTCATGCTCCGGGAATGCTGATGCCACTGGCATCGCTCAAATTGCAGCCACGCCCACTTCCGAATGTGGTGAGAAGTCGTTCGAATAATGATGTGAATAAGGATGCCTCCGCTCAAAGTGCAGTCAGTCGACGTTCGTTTCTCATGTCCTAAAGAAAAAAGCTCTCATCGAACTTGTCCTCATTAGCACCCCCCCCCCCCCCCCCCCCCCCNCCCCCCCCCCCCCCCCCCCCCCCCTCAGTTGGTCGTAGATTTCGTTGATTTCATTAGTCAAGGAACCGATGTCGATCGATGACGGCGACGATGGACCATTTTAATTGCGAAGCTGTAATTCCTACCTAGACATTCAGGATAACGGCCCCGGTATTTTCACATGATGGACTGCTCACATATGTAAAGACAATGTGGGAGCCACCACTGTTACATCGTCCCGTTACCACATCTGCATGCAACATATTTCTGAAATGGCGAACATTTTTCACCTCATCCTCCAGTGTGGGTAGGTGTTCGGCTCCTCCTGATCATCTTGGAAAGCACATCCCAGCCTATTCGACAGACTAGACTTTTAAATCAAAATGTTTCTCGAGCGGATTGTGCCTCCTGACTTGAGCACTGAAAGGTTTTCTAGCAAGAGCTTCAGAAATCTGGTGCCCAAGGTTCGCCTGCCTCAAGTTAATCTCTCCGTGGAATCGTTCCCATATTTGAGATTAATTTACCGTCACCCGTAAAATGATAGGAAGTTGGTGGACTAGGAGACGGGAGACACAAAAGGTGCTAACAATGAGAGCGGACTCAATCCCACATAGGACAAACATGCTTTTCTTTTCTCATCTTAAGAGCACGATTGGCTTACTGGCATCAGAGTTGTCTTGGACAGTGAAGTTCTGGGCATGCACTGAATGGCTCTGATAGCAGGAATCCCACTGTCTAAGACAGTCCACGCTAAAAAAATTTCCTAAGGTGTGGTACTAGGACGGATCTCTGGCTCCGAAGGACGGCACATGAGCCGTTGTCGGACCGG